ATCAACCTCGATATTACTATAATTATTAAATAGAAAGTTATTATTTATTTACTATTATTCACAAAAATAGTGAAATTTGTTGGTCAACAAGAGTAAATAAGTCCCTGATCAAAAATTCAATAAGAACTAAAAGACGTTGATAACGAGTTAGTATGACAGCTAACAATGCTGGCTGATTACCGGACCTCAACCTGTGTTATCATTTCAACAATATGAGCATACCTGAATGCTAATTTTGCCTAGCAGAAAATGAAACTCTATGACGTGAATATTTACATTAAAACAGATAAGAGCCAAAGTAGCAACTAACAGCACTTTAAACTACAAAGAAAGAAATACAAAGGGAACAACAATATATATAACAACAAGCACTATACCTATATTAAAAAAAATTTCTGCACAAAATCTCTATGTTAACATTTTCTTTTTAAAAAAATTTTGTTTATAATATTAAAATTTGTGTTATAAAAAACGATCAGAAATTCCGACAATGATCAGATAATTTTTATTTACCCTTATTTATTTGTTATAAGTATAAGTTAAACATTTAATCGAAGATTACTTAAAATATGGCTGTCCAGATCAGGTATGATCACGGATCAATAAAACTCACTGTGCAGATTGGATGAGCGTAGAAACAAGTACATACGACCATGGCTTCAAATTCAGTTCAATTAATAATTTATTTGAACTGATTTTTTAGGGATAGCATAAAATTAAAATAATGTGATTTTACCAAAATATATATCAAAAGAAACTTGCGTAATTGTGTTAGATTAGAAACATGTCGTGGACTGCACATACTTATATTAGCCGCGGCCCGCATGTGTCTCATGGGCCGTAATTTAGACAGACCTGACTTAAAACATAAATACTCTCATTGAGCGATAATCTGAGGAAGAGGCTACATATGTAGTTGATCGAACAGAACTGGTTTCCTAAAACTGGTTTTATATGTGAAGTAAGTCTCCCAATGGTATTAAAACGGCCTCCGATCTATGTGTTTGCTAATATTTTTTGTGATAGGGACAGGTCTGTCGTAGACTGGAGACTGTCGTATTAATAATAATAGAAAATCTCTGTTTAATACAGCACAAAAACTTAAGTATAATTAGCTTGTTTAATTTTTGAGTTATTGGTATAGTTTTTATAATTGAAAGTTTTTTTCGGATAAAGGTTCTTTCCTTTTTGTCTCCGTTGAAATTTGGATTGTTGGGTTGACGCGTTTTTTTTCAATTCTTTGATCAAAAAATTAATTGCTGTATGATTTTGATAGGAATAGTCTGTATTATTATGTCTGTGAGTTTAGATATAGAAACATATACTCAGATAATTAGAGAGGTGATGTATACATGGTTTTTTACTATCCCATATAAATACATATTTATATATTACATAGGTATAATGTGTATACATTGTATGCGGATAAATGCAGCAGATATTTATGTGTGTAAAGTGAATTGTATGCATTCTGGAGCTACTTAACTCAATTAGGTTTTAAATTTCGCGTTTGACACCAAATTAAAGTTTTTAATCATAAACTAATTAACTTAATTAATTAGTTTATTTAACGGCATTTGTCTCTACAACACAGAATTTATTTAAAATCCTACATCACTTCAACTGCTTCTACGTGACGTGAGTTAGCAGTTCCGTTTAATAATCGATCAATCACTTTTGCGTTGGCAAAGTGAAAAATAAAAATAAAAAATAAAAATATTTAAGCAAAAATTATTAATTTCTGGTCACGTCATGCAGAATTTTATGCATTGCATTTATGACGAAAAATGTTGAATTATGCTCCAATTATTTCGAACGAACTGTCATGGAAAATACTTTAATACCGAAACTCTGTGGGCACTGCTTAAGCCAAGTGAAAAATTTTAGAATTTCTGCTCGTAATTCCATTCCATTTTTCAAAAATAGAAGTGACACAGTGCGACTTATTGTTAGATGAAAACTTGACACACATTTTGAAAATTACAAATTTTCGGAATTTAAGTGGGCTCATATTTGGTCATATCAATGACACTGTTTGTACCCAGTAACATTTAAGCCCCCTTCAATTATTTTGAATTGCTGGAAATGACAATGAGATGCTTTAAATGTGCTCCTCTTTGCTTAATTTCCGTTGAAGAAATTAAAATAAAATGGAAAAATCAGAAGAACTCTTAAAAAGATTTGCTTGGCTACTGTGCTTATTCCCATTCAAATTCATAAGCTTCTCGGTTTAAAGCATTTGAATAAATATTTCCAAAAAGTGCCTCGTCTTCTTCTACGGCGGGGTGCAGCTATTTCCATGTCTGTCCGTTTGCCTGCCTGACTTTTTGAAGTGGCTCATTTCGTAAATTGTACGCGTGACGTGATTTCTGTGCAATGATAAAATTTTCTTATTCCATCACAGTTTTTTTCATAAATTTTTTTTGTTTTTTTGGTAGGACCCTTGCATCAGTAGTGCTAGTTTCGAAGTGGAAATGTGTGATGGAGCATGCCAATTATGTTTTTAAAAGCGTCTGTCAAAAATGTCTATTCCATTTTATTTATTTTTTTTTTTGGAGTTTTGTACTGTCAAGATGAAATTTTGTTAGTTTGATTTGTTGCGGGCTGTACTCATGTTTTTGTAGTTTCGTTATCAATTCAGAAATAAACAAGAAATTAGAAGATTTTCATATTAAACGCCAATTTATATTAAACGTACAGGCCGATACGCAATTTTGTGGATATTTCTTGACACTTAATGCTTTTCCATTATTTTGAGCTGCAGCTAACACAATCACAGAAAATGTTGTTGGAGTTCTTAACAAAATCCATCTCTCCTCATTATTTCCTTCAATTTTTGTTAGAACAGTTAGCTTTGCTTTATATATAAGAATTTATCAATAAAATAAATAATCTAGTCAATAATCGGATATATAATTTTAATTAAAAGTTTTATATAAATAGGTAGATCTCTGGTAACGTGCTCTGTAGACGACTAACATAGAACAGTGCAAACCAATTACTTCAATATACATTTTAAGAATCTATTTGTTTTTAGAACTTTATGGTATTACTATGTTATTCAATTATGGAGCTCGTTACTGCCCTATTGATTTACTGCTCGATATCCCTATTGCGATATATTCGCAATGCACTAATCATCAAGGTCCATCCTCAGCGGCCTTTGAATTATTTTTTACATATAATTATTTGTAAATAATATTTCTTGAGACTGCAAGTACTAAGTATTGAACTGTCAATTAATTAAAATAATATAAAAACAATTTTTGTTGTTGGAGTTCACTACTTTTCGAAACTTCTCCAATAAAATACAATAGTTTCTATTAAGTAAAAGAGTCACGACCGTCATAGCTGACGTTAAATTGGATTTTAAAATAATCATTTTTCAAAAATTAATTAAATTTAAATTAAAAAAAAATTAATTTTATTCTTTAATTAAATAATAATTACTTTATAAGTAAAATAAAAGTATATCACATGATAATTCAACGAAATGCAAAGACGACTTTTATTGTCAATTCTTAAGAATCTATTGCAGTAGTTTATTAAAATCAAAAGAATGCTTTTTAGAGAAGTTATGGTTTATATATATATCTAATCAATAATGACAATTATATTACTCGACAGTCGAGGTAGACAGGGCACTTAGTATGGAATAAGAATAGTTTGATTGAATTAAAGAAAAGACCAATTTCAGAGACATTTCAAAATGATTCACAACAGATTTTAAAATTGCTTAGTATTATAGAAAAAGTCGAAAATTCTGAGCTGTCTCAGAATGTAATATGTATATAGGTATTATATTAAGATCACGCACAAGGGCTGGAAAACTTCCGTATAAAATTGAAGTCTTAGAAACATATGAAGCAAATGTGTCATTGGTAACATCTTCCATAATATTGCTCAGTGTGTTGGAAATCGAATGACATATATAATAGCTGTTGATATTTACCATATTAATACTAAACTATAATATTTAAATAATAGCTTTGTGGAATCTACACAAAGACTGTGAATAAAAGTATATTAACTTTTTTAAAACTTGCACATAATGGAAGTTATGTTGATATTATATATACTATATTCAAATTTTACATAATATATATATTCTGAATTTTTAAAATATGTATTGTTGTTGTTGATAAAGCTACGCTTTCTTTATAGTGACAAAAGAGTTATATTTTTTAAAATTTAGAGAGTTTTCGAATAGCAAAGTATGAAAGGACAATTACAAAAATTAAATAAATTTAAATTAAATAAATTTTTGTGTTGTCGTTTCTTTTTTTTGCTATTCGAAAGCCTTCTATATTGTGAGTATTTATATACTGAACTCAGTTATCGTATAAGTTTAGTTCTATCCGTTTGTCTGTCTTTTTTGTTAGGAAACTAGTTCCACAGTTTTTGAGTTTTCGGACGAGTCTTCAGTAAATCGAAGGCAATTAATTATCCAAATAAATGAAATTAGTTTAATAACTTATATAGCGGACATATATTATTAGTGTTATATGGTATATGAATTAATATAGCAGATTCTTGCTTTAAGGATACCCTATGTAAATAACCTTTTAAATTATGAAAAATTAAAAACTTGTGAAATACAAATATATCAAAAATATTCTATATCAATAATGAATATTGTATAGAAAATGTTTTCGAAATAATGAAAATCATTAAAATTTTTGTTAAACTGAGGGTCAACTGCATGTACTACCCATTAATCATCTGTCCAAAAATTTTGAAATATTGTTGAAAAATATGTAATGTGATTTGATGTATGTAAAATTTGAATGGTATTATTTTCTACTGTTTTTGAGTTTCTAATGTTTTTTTTAGTTTTTCTAGTCATTAAAATTTACATCAAAATTTTTTTTTTTATTTTTAGCAAATTTAAAATTCCATTGGGAAAACCTTGCCTTGACTAAGTTTTCCCAATATTTGGTTTAGCTTCTTTGACAAATTGAATTCAATTTAAACTGACATTTAATTAAAATCTTTTTTACCTGTGATGTTGATTTAGCGAGGTCATCATTGGTCTCTGCTGAAAATACTGAAATTGTTGTTGCAGATATGCTGCATCAGTAACAGGTCCATTTATAAATGCTGATGGCGCTGCCGCATTTGCAATTTGTCCTATTGCATTGGCAGTGCCGCTATGGTGATGCGGATCCAAAAAAATGGCTGTGTATTGTGGTGGATACGAAGTACCCATTACAGGTGTTGCGCGTTGTGGTGGCGTGGTACCACATTTTGACTTAGATTTATGTTTGCGTCGTGTGCGTTTCGCTTGGCGCGAGTCGCGTGAACACGTGCTGGTATTAAGTAAATCAACAGCGTGAGATGAAGCTGTGCTTGATTGAGTTGTCGGCAGTTGTGCAGTGGGCCCGCCACTACCGCTTGAATTGCCGTCATTTGAGGGTGAGAACTGTAATTCACTGTATATGCTGGAGTCCAATATATTACTGTCTGATGTGGTGCGATTAAGTACGAATTGTTCGAATTCATCGGACGGTAATGCCTCTACATCAGATTGTGCCGCAGCTAAGAGTGCTGTACTCTCTACAGCGATTTCTTCATTACTTTCCACGGTATTAATCATATATTGACTCTGATTCAGACTATTAGTGCTGTAGCTTGCACTGATCACTATTTCCGGTATCACCATTTGCTTTTCGGCAACCTTAACATTTGGCATGCTATTGCTGCAGTTCGTCAGTGCACCAAGCATTGTACCATTTTCCAGAAATTTAGTTGGATTTTGCGTCATTGACATATTAATGGCTGCTGTGGTATTAGATTCCATATTGTTACACGTGTAATTATTTTTATTTAAATTTTTTTTATTTGTTTGGTATGAGGATTTATTTACTTATAACTGATTTTATTTTTTTAAAAAAAATTTATTTAAATATTTTTTTTTTTGACACACATAAGTAATTTAATTATTAAATACAATTAATATGGATTTTTTTGGTCCCTAACAATTGAATTATATTTTCATCTTAATTAATCTAAATCCTTCATATTTATTTTTTTTGACACTGTTACGACGCGCACGAATCTAAGAATTTGAAGTTAAATATCTCCGAGTACGGATCAACGTCTTACAACCTTTTCATTACGAGTACCGCCAAAAACTAAATTCATTCTGTTGGAAATATCTTGTGTTTACTTCTTCAGATTTCAGGTTTGTGTGCACATTGTACGTATGAAATGCTTCAACCACCAAACTCAATGCTGTTATCAACAAAAATGTATCTGCAGCGTCTGCCAACTTTTATGCTCTTTCGGCATGAAAACGCTTCTCACTTTAGCTACATTTTCAACATTTCATTTATTCTACTGATGTGTTGGTGTTATTAAATTTCAGTGCTCTCTTTTTTGTTATGAATGAAGTATCTTTAGTAGCCGCATCAATTGACACGCCAGAGCCATAGACGAAAAGGTGTTGGAGTGTGTATATTTTGATCAAGATATTTTTAAATCAAAAAATTTTCTCAAAAATATGAGAACATCATATTGTTTCATTTTTGTGGATTTATTGAATCTTTCACATAGAAAAAAGTAATAATATCTCCTTATATTGAAAGTTTGACTTTATTTTCACTTAAGCCAATGTATAAGAATAACTAGCTTTTAACATATGCCAATTATATCTCTCTATTTAGTCGTTTAGTATTTGTTCAGTAAAAGCTTATTTCATGGGTGGTTGATATTTTGACAGGTACTGTCGGCTACATCGAGAAGCTTTTGCTAACTATATGCATAAATCTGTATTAAGGTTCAGTTATACGGTACGTACCGTAAGATTTAAGTCAAAGCGAAATACACAACCAATTACAGCCGTGGATTTCGCTCTGACTTAAGTTCATAAGGCACGTACCGACTAACTGAGCCTTTAAGTTTTATAATTTTCAAAATTCACATTCTTTATTTCCATAATGTAATAAAATGTGGTCATCGAGCAACTTCTCTTAACACTGGCGATACGACGAAATCTCCATAAAGCTTTACGTTTTTTTATTTCCATAAAGAAAATAAAACAGAATTAATAATTATTAAAATGTCAATATAGCAAATAAATAAAAATGGAAATATTTTTTAAATAAATTAAATTCTGTTCATCTCAACATATTTTATGATGGGTTTGACTTTAGTGAAAAAATTTAAATTAATATTGTTACCATAAACTCTTATAAGCTTTTGAAATAAATCAGGGATGCTTCCTATGCCCCTTATTGCTTCCAGTAACAATATACTCAGCACTATAGAGCTCAGTAGTAGAAAACTAAAAAATTTAAGCGCTTACTTAGAGCATCTGTGCTGACCTGATAGCATAGTGCTTCTCTCCAAAAGGTTAAACATAACTTAACAAACTTAATATGTTGGTTATGGTTACTTAACTTAATTTTACTTAGTTAAATTTATTTACTTAAGTAATTGAATTTTTAATTGACTATATAGCTGTTTGGAATACTTCATTATTACTGATCTTTGCAAATTTTTCTTGGAATTAATTTTTTAGACTGCATGTACCCAGGTATGAACTCATTCCTGGCTAAATTTGAAAAATAGAGTAAATATGTATTACTGTGACAGAATTATTTGTCAAAGTTAAGACATATAACTGCTATAACTACGATAGTGTGATTCTAATAGTCAAGATGTTACCTTAACTATGATACTATGATTTTACTGATGAAGACGTATATCTGCCTTGACGTTGAAAGTATCGTGTGCATGCGGGGTGGGTTTTGATAATTAGAGACATTTAATATGTTAAGTAAGATTAAATCTACTTAAATTTTAGATTTACGCAATATTTTGAAGTGAAGGATCTATTATTACATGTTCAATGTTTAGTTATATTATATATTATATATAACTTATATATTACTTGTGATGTGTTATTTTAATAAGTATTTTGTACTCGTGATGTTTATTGGATGTTTATGTAGGGGACAATTTGGTTCAAATTTCCGTTTTTACAATGTATATAAGCCAATTGATTTAAAATACATTTGAATAGTTTAGTTTTTCCTTGGATGTCGTTGTTAATATTTTCTAACATACTTATGAAGTATATTTAAATACCCCGAAGTGTTTATTCAAGTCCGCAAGCTTGCGGATATTGTAAGGGGTAAGGGTTCTCTTTTATTTTAATATAAAAATATAGCCATACAACTATTAGGTAACTATAGTTTTTATAGAGACTTATAAGACGATACATATTTCTACTTTCTTTATGTATTTTACCCATTTTGGGTCCTATTATTATGAAGAAATAATGAAGAAAAACCATATACCATTTTTTTTGCTGTAGTATACAATAGTTTTTTTAGTCGTAATTGACTTTAAAATTAAATTTAAATTTTAATTAATATTTTTATATTCCGCGAATTAAGGACTTGAATTTTTAACTTACTGTTCACATATTCTGTAATAGTACGCTAGAGAAATTTCATGAGATCCATTAAAACTTTTTTTTTTTATTTGTTAATAATTAATTGCAACTGCTTAGTGGTTGCAAGACGTAGACTCGATTACCTTGGAAGCGGGATATTAGTCCCAAGTCAAATAGGTAAAATTAAGCCCACAGCAATTACAAGATTTATAAATAGTCTAAAATTGTCCTAGTTGGGCCTTTAGGCGCACAATAGATCTTTTAGGTCGGGGTGCTTTAATAGCCTATTACTTAAATAAAATAAAAATAATAATTAATATTCCTTCTAAATAATATTTAATTATTATTATCACAATATATTTTTATAGTAGATTTCAAAATTAGTTTCACTCTTCTGCAGTACCCCTACTTGGACGACTCTGTCGTTATGCATTTACGTTACCACTTCGTATTTCTCATAACGAGTTTTATGCTCACCCCAAATGTATCTATCTCAATGGAAAAAGAGATTTCAACCAAAAGAAAAATATAAACAAAGTGTGATTGCCGCTAGTGATAAAGCAAACATTTAAAGCGCATTTTGTATCTTCGAATATTATTCAAATCGAAGCCAAACAAAAGTTGAAGTGCACCAAAAGGGACCAAAAGTTACAAAAACAATGTGTACAAATAAAAACAAAGCGGCTAGTACTGGGCTCCATAAGTACACTATGGCTTAGCTGTGGAATTGTTTGGCATATCTTTTCAATGGGACATTGGCTTCGATTGATTGAGCATTGGCTGAAGTTTGTTTGGACTTTCGAGTTCCTTGTACTTAAGTTATTTGGTTTTGTTTGCAGTTCAACGAAATTGGTAAAAATTGGTAATCAACAAATTGAATTCCTCAATTCAAATATTCCGCAATATTTTCTTTGGGAAAGTTTTTAATTAAAACTTTTGTCAATTTTTGTAAGCACCTTTAGAAGTTATAAATCATAAATTTCCTATTGAACGCATGTGTCGAAAAAACTTTTCATAGAAGACTTGGGAGTATTGTTGTAAAGATCCTCTGGGTGGTCTTACTTTACGACTGTGGGCTACATTTAATATGACAACATCTGCCTAATAAACCCAATTCGATGTTGTTTAGATGCTTAATATAGCAAAATTTGGACTAAACTAATAACTGCTAACTCGGGTTAATCGAAATAAGTTTCAATAATAACAATTGATAGACTTCGGAGAAAAGAAAATTATTTTTAACTATATTAAATACAATCCATACCTTCTTCCTAAATAGAAAAAGATGAAAACGAATTGAAAGAAATTGAAATGCATATTGCAAAAAAATGATATTTTTTTTTTATCTACAAATGAAACTATGATTAAATAATAATTCTTACTCATTCATATCCATATTAGTTTGAAAAGTTAACCAAACATAGAGATACTATATACAAATGCAATAAAACCTCTAATTAAGATCAATTTTGATGGTGCGTGTGCAATTTTGAAAATTTGATGGAATAAAATTTTGTATAATTGTGAGCATAAAATAAAATTTCGTTGATTATTACTCTTCTTAACACGTATTTCACACATGTCCCTTTTTTCTGTTTGCATTTGTAGTTTCAAGATCCTTTAAGTCCATCATCACGAATATCCCAAATTTGTGCGCATTCATCACGAAAAGCACGAGCTGAAGTCATAATCATAAATTAGGCGCTTTTCAATTCTCGTTGCATTTCGACGTCAATTTTACATATTTTGGAGAGACGAAATATACGCCTTTGATGCATGTATGCCCGGTGGAAGGAGTTCAGTTGATTGATTGACGGTTGGATGGATGGCTGAATAGTTGGTCTGTTGAATGAGTGATTGAGACATATGAGACTCGACTCGTCGCAAAACTTTTTGCGGAATGATGGTACAAAGCGTTGCGTAAATATTCAATTTGGCAATTCAACTGAATATGAGTGTTTTGCGGTACTTATGAGAATAATTTTCTTTTTAATGCCATTAATTTATTTAATTAAAATTTATTCATAGAAAATTCAAATTATATGTGTATGTAGCATATGCACATAGTTTTAGGAATGGTTATAATAGTGGTCTCTTGAACTAATAAAATATATAAAAATATTTCACATATTTTTTTCAAGACATATAAGAGTAATATAAAGCTTTCGTTACTTGAATACATTTGAAGGCTTAAGAGAGAATTAGATTTCATCCATAGTGACGTATAGGTTAGGTGAGCCTATAACCTATATGTAAGCTATATATGGAGTTACTAGTCGTTTGTGGTACCAGTTGGAGTTAAACATTATGTTCATAAAAACGTTATGTAATAATTAAAGTGTAATAATTTATTTATTATTAGTTATTAGTTTAGAAATAGTAACTTATTTAGACCTGTTCATACTTTTTTAGCACATATCTTTC